GTATGTGTCTTACACCTAGCTTCTGAGTGTATTGTTGCTGATGAGGTATTCAGGATGTGACTTTCATCAATGTAGACTTCTTTAACTTCTACTTGTAGAACATCATCAGTTTGAAACGTTACTACCTGAGCTTGCTGTGCGAGTTCAACAGCTGCGGCTACTCTGGTATTGGGCTGTAGAATCAACTCTTTATCAGCTGAATTGGATACTAGAAGGCTTAATCCTGATCCACCAGAAACACAACCCTCAATAACTTCTAATCCTGACGTATCACTAGATGACTCCACTAACCAAACACTCTCCGCATGACTATTACTTGCACCTGTGTCGAAGCAACACTCTAATCGCTTAACTGATCTTGGAGGGACAACTTCAAGCAAGCAAGTCTACACCACGTCTAGTACACTGTTTATTGGAGTTGGCTGATTCTTTCGACATCCGAAGGCTGTTTACCACAACACCTAAGTCCCCTTGAGTTTGTGTATCATCTGTTAATAGTCTCAAAGCATTACAGCCTAATATAAGGGGGTAGTCCTGTTTCCGTCCAAGTCTAGGTGTTTTCTCTCCTACCACTAAGAATCCAACTACAGCATTCTTACCTCTTAACGTAACAGGAACCCGCACATAACCTTCTACTGCTATTTTAGTACCTGTAACTCCAACTATCTTAATAGCTGATTCAAGGCCTGTCTCTTATACACATCTACGTAGCTTCATATTTTCTCAAGTCATCTACGAGATGCTACAGATTTCGGCCAATTGCCTTGGTTACTGTGGACACCTTTAGTTGATCTGCATGATCGTCTAGGTACAGGTCCAACAACTGTTTTTCCATTATCATGCTGTGGTCGATTTCGATGTGTAAAAACCCAGCTTGGTGTGCACTCATCATCTTCATCAGTCTGTCTCTTATACACATCTAGATGTGTATAAGAGACAGGGTATAAATGCGGCTTCACAGGGAACAATTCTCTTTCGTCGCTTAATCTTGGAAATTGCATTACGATTATACAAAATCAAGATTTAGGCTCAATTTAACACAATTCAAAGTAAATTTGAAGACGTGTATGTTACCTATGCTGCAGTCCTCTCCAGCCCATGCTTTGTGGCATCCATTGTCACAGCTTCCATTACGATTACAATCAGCTGAGTCTTTGCAATGACATGGATAGTTACACAACAAACCAAAGAAACCAGGTGGACAGGACAGGCCTGGCAGTAATTCTACAACAAAATGCGATATCATTATTACCTTTAAATGTTGAGTCAAAAGGTATTAGTTAAGCCAAAAGTAACTCTTGAATTATTACCGGTACCATTAGTATCACATGTACTAGAATTATTCGATTTGATAATATTCCTGTCCTACATGTAGATTAAAAAATTCTCAATTCTTTTAAAATAGGCCCTAATAAATTAACAAAATAACAGTTTTAAATTACGTGACTATATAAACAAATATTTGTTTAGAAGTCATTCATTATTTTTTTCTATAAACAGGATTTTTTCTGACCCTCTCTCCTATGAAGGAAATGTTTAAAGAAATATGTAACATAAGATCATATTTTTATCTTTTTCATGAAAGAGTACATATGACTAGATGGTGGTCAACCTCTCCTCCCTCAAAGCATATGTTATTACTCTGTAGAAAGGATGTAATCATGTGTATTTCCTTAGCATCCCCATCAATTTAGGGCCGACTAGGTATTTTTTATTGAAAATCAACAATTTGCACACAATTACTAAATGAATCATAAGCATAGTAGACAGTCATTACACATTCATTTTGTTATTTATTTAACTTTTCACTCCCTAAATCCTAATAATGTGACCTTGTTTACAAGGCATCATGTTTCTTTTCCACTTTTAAGAGGGCTACTGAATATCAGCATGCCTCTTTGGTAAACTGGGTTATTAAAAAACAAATCCTTCAAGTCCTTACAAATTATTGTTGGTCGGAGGTTAAACAAGTAAAATTTTAATGTAGCCTGTACTCTTTCTAGCCATATGCAAATTAAGTACTCTAAATAGGAATATGAGAATATGCTTATTGCAATACAGTAGGCTATTAACTTTTCAATTGAATTGAGTTTATTTTGGATACAAGGTACAGTATAATTAAAATATTTAATTACATTTGTTGCCTATATGTAGATTAGTATTTCTAATAGGAATATTAAAATCAGCTTTGTTTTTACGTAATTATTACTATATTTTATACAAAATAAATAATATTACTCATAAAATTCGACAACTAATATCTGAATATTACAGTCTCACACTCTATTTACACGTAGTTATTACAATGGTATAATCAAACTCATAAAAATAATTTACCTTAAATCAAATCAAATATTGCATAGGGTGAAAGCAATTAACAATAGAAATAGTACTGTATAGCAAGTAATATATTAACCCGTCAACATAATGAGCAATAGTTATAGGAAATAAACACAGTACTGTACTACATTTCCGTATACAATGATTTCTCACATTTACATAAGTCAGTAAAATAGCTATTATTCAAAAAAAAAAAAAAATATAAGAAGGGAATGTACATTAAATAAAATTATAGACGATAGGAATAAAGTAACGTAGCTTCATATTTTCTCAAGTCATCTACGAGATGCTACAGATTTAGGCCAACTGCCTGGGTTACTGTGGACACCTTTAGTTGATCTGTATGATCGTCTAAGTACAGGTCCAACAACTGTTTTTCCAACATCATGCTGTGGTCGATTTTGATGTGTAAAAACCCAGCTTGGTGTGCACTCATCATCTTCATCAGTTGATGAATCAATCTCTTCAGCGTCTGTGTTTATTACTTCCCTTGGGTCTGCAATTAGAAGTTTTCTGTTTACAGTTCGCACAGGACCTCTACGAGCAAGACGAATTGTGTAAACGTCACCTGCGTCATAAAACCCAAACTACAATGAAGGGATCATGGTGAAATTTGTCTTCCAATTTATGTCTCCCTTCGAAGGTACATCGTTTCAAAAGAACTCGATCACCGATGTCAAACGGTTGACTCATTTGGTGCGTGTTGTACTTTACTCATCCAGAGTCCAAGTTACGTTGAATACAGTCCTTAGCAACTTTACTATGAGCTTGTTGAATGGACTGGCTTGCTGTTCAATAATGTCCTCCTCCCAGTCTTCATGTGAGTTGTTAAGGAGCTGATCTAATGGTGTGAATGGTTCACGTCCATATAAGAGACGGAAAGGTGAAACACCGGTAACACTATGAGGAGTTGAGTTGTAAAGAATACTAGATGTCCTAGCATTTCTGGCCACTTTCTTCGTTTTTCCTGGTCTACGGATCGGATCATTCCACACAGCATACGATTGAATCTTTCTGTTTGACAGTTACCTTGTGGGTGGTATGGTGTGGTCCTTGACTTCTGTATATTATAAAGCTTGCAAAGTTTCTTTATTACTCAAGGTGTGTTCTGTCCACACCTTGATGGCCCCATTCGTTGTGTGCCATCTCTAGCATCTTCTGTCGTATGCTATACGGAGTGAGTAGCTGTTGGCAAACACCGCTATTCTATTCAACTTCACGGTACAATACACCGTTCCACTCCTTAAAGTGTGGTAGTTGTTTTAACCAACTTCTTAACTCGGGAAAATCATCTGTAAGTGGCTGTCCCCGCTGTCAGTTAGTACGCCAACACTTCCATACTTTCGCCAATATGGCATCGCTGTGTTGAAGATGAGCAAGTTGTTCATGTGTGTACGATGCAAATAGACTATAAGTCTCATTCTGTGGATGACTTTCTACTATGGTCTGTTCTAAACCTGAGATTTTATCCGGCACTAAACTACTGGCTGTAACTTCTCTTACTATAACCTCCACATCACATATTTCGCTAGTTGGACACCTGCTCAGTGCATCAGCACACTGATTATTCTTCCGTGGCTTATACTTAATGTCAAGGTTAAAGGGTGCGAGTTGTGCAACCTAATGGTGTTCTGTTGCTCATAGTTTGGCTGTCTTAAGATGAACTAGTGGATTGTGGTCTGTAAACACTGTGCATTTCGAGCCTCTGATGTAAGATCCAAACTTTTCTGTGACTGCCCATTTCAATGCGAGTAGTTCTACTTTAAAGCTTGGAAGGTCTGCATAGTTCTTTTCAGCTCCTCGGAGACTGTGGCTTGCAAAGGATAATGGGTGGAGTTTTCCATTTTCATCTGCTTGCATTAAGCATGCTCCTAAACCATTAAAAGAAGCGTCAACCTCTATAACGAACTCCTTACCGAACTGGGGGTAGGCTAAGACAGGTGCTGTTGATAGTGCTTTCTTCAGGGCCTGGAATGCTGTTTCGGCTTGTTCACTCCATTCAAACGGTAGCTACTTCCCCGCATTTCTGGTTTTCTTTCCGGTTAATGCATGTAATGGAGCAGCAATTTTTGAGAAGCTAGATATGAATCGTCTATAGTAAGACGCAAGGCCCAAGATTGAACTTACTTGCGATGAATCTTAGGGAGTAGGCTGCTGCTTAACTCTCTCTACCTTGTTGGGTCTACCGATATTCCATCTTTGTTGACAATATGACCTAGATGAGTCACTTCAGTCTGGAACAACTTGCATTTTCCACCTTTCAGCTTAAGACCATGTTTCTGTAATCGTCTGAACACCTCTGCAAGTCGCTCTAAATGTTCATCAAAAGTATTTGAAAACACGAAAATGTCGTCTAAATACAATACAACTTGTCTAAGTTTAAGTCACCAAATAGTCTCCATTATCCGTTGGAATGTCCATGGGCTGTTGCATAGTCCTTGCGGCATGCTGTTGAATTCAAACAATCCCCATGGAATTTGGATGGCTGTTAACGGGATGGAGTCTGGATGCATTGAAACCTGGAAGTATCCATGAGAAAGATCCATCGGTGAGAAGTATTTAGCTCCACCTAATGCCTCAAGCGTTTCATCGATTCATGGTAACGGGAATGAATCTTTAACTGTGATAGCGTTGAGCTGATGATAATCATAGTGCCCCGGAGCTTTTCCGCACAAGTACTACTGGGCTGGCATAAGGGCTGGATGATCTCTGAATAATCCCCTTATCGAGCATATCTTGTAGTAGTTGTTTAACCTCTGCCATTTGTGTTGGTGGTATTCTACGATAAGGCATGCAGATCTGCTTGTCTGTACACACTTTGATTTCATGTGGAATTAGGTCACAATGGCCAAGGTCAAATTCACCGGTTGAGAAAACCTCTTTATGCTCAACTAGTAATCTAGCAACTTGGTCTGCTTCATTAGAGTCTCACTCCAACTGGTAATTCTAATGTGGTACCATCTTTGCAAGTATGTGTCTCACACCTAGCTTCTGAGTGTATTGTTGCTGATGAGGTATTCAGGATTCATCAATGTAGACTTCTTTAACTTCTACTTGTAGAACATCATCAGTTTGAAACGTTACTACCTGAGCTTGCTGTGCGAGTTCAACAGCTGCAGCTACTCTGGTATTGGGCTGTAGAATCAACTCTTTATCAGCTGAATTGGATACTAGAAGGCTTAATCCTGATCCACCAGAAACACAACCCTCAATAATTTCTAATCCTGACGTATCACTAGATGACTAACCAAACACTCTCCGCATGACTATTACTTGCACCTGTGTCGAAGCAACACTCTAATCGCTTAACTGATCTTGGAGGGACAACTTCAAGCAAGTATCTGGTTACTACACCACATCTAGTACACTGTTTATTGGAGTTGGCTGATTCTTTCGACATCCGAAGGCTGTTTAGCACAACACCTAAGTCCCCTTGAGTTTGTGTATCATCTGTTAACAGTCTCAAACCATTAGAGCCTAATATAAGGGGGTAGTCCTGTTTCCGTCCAAGTCTAGGTGTTTTCTCTCCTACCACTAAGAATCCAACTACAGCATTCTTACCTCTTATCGTAACAGGAACCCGCACATAACCTTCTACTGCTATTTTAGTACCTGTAACTCTAACTATATTAATAGCTGATTAAAGGCTTCCCATCGGGCCAATGTGAGGTTCAAGTAAACTGTGGTAGATATCAGCAGGGATTATGGACGCTTCTGCTCCGGTGTCCAGAATAGAACCGATTGGTATTCCGGCAACATCTATTATCACCTTAGGGCTTGGTGCTAGCAGTCCCAACTGGGTTGACTCATAGCTTTCATTTGTTGTTGGTGTCAGTTGCATTTACAATAATAAGCTTGACATCTTTCCCTCCTACCACCTTGTTCGTTCACTTCTATTCCATTATGGGTTCGGGGAAGCACCATGGCTTAACCAAGGTGTTGGTGATGATGTTTGCTTTTTAAGTCTTGTTAAACAACATTCTTTAGATATTGACCAACAAGAATGGGAGTCACAAGTTAACGAGTCAAATAGGCTAAAAAGTTACTGTTCATTCAAATATTATATTGCTTTTGAAAACTACCTTTCTTCTAATTTAAATCCATATTTCAAAAAGATATTTTACTTCGTTCTGCATTTCTAGCCACAACTTAAACATTGACGAAGGTAGAAAGTTAAATATTAACTTCAAGGATAGAATTTGCTTTTGTAAGGGGAATATTAAAGATGAATTACATTTTCTTCTCAAATGTAAATTGATGAATAAATTGATTGATTTATTGTATAATAGTAATATTCTAGCCTCACGGCATTGCGAAGTGCCCGCTCTCTTGATCATATCGAACACCAGTCGAGTAAATCTGAAACAGTCCGAGTGGAGTTTCATGCAAATGTTTCATACAGAAATAAAACTAGACCTCTGCGAGGGCCAAGGTTCCTATGCGGGCATTCGTAAAATATTGCACTACTGTATTTTCGATGATGTAGACATGGCAACTAACGATAAAGTGCTCGTGTTAATTTGAGATGACATACACACTAGTCTTTGCACAGCCATACGCAACGCATCTTCTTTGACATCTTCCTGTGGGCATATTTTAACTAGTGTTTTTGCTACAAAAATAGCTTGGTACCCCTGTTCAGTTAGAAATTTATGAAGTTAAATTTGTACTTTTTTGGAAAAAAAAAAATTATTTTCTTCAACTGTACTAATAAACACTTCTACAAGAAATTCAAACTTCAGCAAGAACAAGAAAACTATTCCCATGTACGGTACATACATATAATTAATAGGCTAGGCCTAGGCATACACCATTAATTAATTGAATTATAGTAATAAAAACACTAACATACTTTATAAAAATATAGCCTAGTAGGCCTATTAGTAGAAAATATACAGGCATTGGCCCTTTTTAACATTTTAATTGATAGTATATTATAGTCTATAGAAAGGCATAGGCCTAAGCCTACCCCAAGCTAGCGTGAACCGCTTTAGAAAACATCGAAAATGATAGACCTAAAACATTAACATTAACTTAAGTAAAGTTATTACATAAACATTACAATCCTAAAATAAGAATTACACCGCAGTTGTGCACATACCATATGTAATTAGCAATAGAACGCAACCTAACCTAGGCCTGAAAACACGATCGGACGAGAATCGTAACAAGATTCATAGAATGTTGGGAATTCGATCCAACTCGGCCACAAGTCAACTCGGCCACAAGTCAACTCGGCCACAAAAAGTTTGGCTAGTCAACTCAGCCACAAGTCAACTTGGCCACAAGTCATCTCGGCCACAAGTCAACTCGGCCACAAGTCATTTACTGGTACTACATTGTACTAATTGTTATTATTATTGCTGTTATTATTGTTGTCATTGTTGTTATTATTATTGTTGTTTTTATTACCGTTAGTTTTAATATTAATTATTACTCTTAGCATTAACATTATATATTGTTCAAATTTTTGCTGATATTATCACCTAGTCAAACTGCTTCGGTTAAATTCCGAATTGCTGCCTGCTAATTTTTACTTCCTGATAACAGTACAGTACCTAGTACCTGTTATCTATGCCCTCACCTCAGCTAAGGCAGTTACCCCACTCACAAAATGGAAGAGTCCACATTGTTCATTTCACAAAGTTGTTCGTTTGCAGAAATAGGTTGTTTTTGTGAAATTAGGCCCCCCATGTTCGTGAATGCTCGTTGCACATTTGTGAAAATACAGAGTTCATTTGGGAAAGTATGTTGTTAGTTTGTGAAACATGATCGTTTGTAAAAGTATGTTGTTTGGAAAAATAGATTCTTTGAGAAAGTACATTGTTGGTTTGGGAAAATACGTTGTTGGTTTGTGAATGCTCGTTGTTGGTTTGTGAATGTTCACTGTTCGTTCCACTTTTGTATTTTGGCGGCGATTGCCTTCTATACATTTGACAACTAAAATCTGAAAATTACCTTGGCACGCTGGCCCTGTGTAATTAATCGAACAAGATGACCCAGGTGAACAATTCCCTGTTTTTCTGTCACATCCTCCTGAATCGCAGTGACATACTTGACGGCAATCTGCTCCATAGTGATTGTTATCACATTCTGTAAAATAGTAGTTTGGTATAATCACATTGTTAGTCGATTAGTACCATATATTTAATCTTGTATGAACATACATGTGACGAGCAACCGTGTTTTGTTTATCTTTTTTTAAAAATTAAAATATATGCAGAGTAGACCCTTAATGCGGTTAATTGCTTGTGTCCTGGGCCAGTGCAATTTATTTTTTTAATTGCGGTCCTCTATCCATGAGTTTTGTTTCATTGCTCTGATTTTGGATTGATTCCTCACAGTGGAAACATGATAAAGCATGTATAGGCATGCAGTAGTAGTAATATATACTGTAATATCATTATGCTATTCAATTGTTCCCTGAATCATAAAATGAATTAAAAATAAATAAAGTTAATCTTTATGATAAACTAGGATTTTCACATTTTTTTTTAGTTTTATAAGAACTAGTAAAATTTTGCCCATGCTTAGTGTTCTTATTTTTTTGGCCGATATCAGGCTCAAAATGTTCATATTTTGTTCTTATATTTACACAATTTTCAAACAGAGAAAATTATCATTGTATAGCAGCATATTACTGTACATACTATATAGAGTGTATAGTCACACCTCACTCCAAATAAGATAGCAATAAGATTTGTTGGTTTTCCATATTTAAAAACGAAAAACTAAATAGACATTTTATCTCAGCCTTAATTTGTTCATACTTTGTTCTTAATTTTTAAGCGATTTCAGCCCCAGTGTTCTTGTAAAACATGTTCTTATAAAAAAAAGTGTACTGTATTGCTAAACCAAAGGATATTCTTTTTTGTTGATTACAAACTGCTCTAAGTCGACATCAGAAGCACAGTGGGTTTTTTGCCGATTTCATTCTTAAATTGTTCTTATTTTGTTTTTAGTTTTACACACTTTTCGAGCATACAAAATTATTATTGTAGAGCAGTATATAACTGTACTGTATTATAGAGGGTATTACATAGCACCTGTTGCAAATAAAGGTAAGTAAGATTTGTTGGTTTTTTACTATTTACTTTTAAAAATTTTATTTAATAAACACCTCCTATGACATTTTACCTCAGCCTCAATTTGTCCTTATCATAAGCTTAATTTCAAAGTGATTTTAGCCTCAGTGTTCTTATAAAATGTGTTCATATAAAAGAAACGTGTGTGCATCAGAGACACCAACATCAACTTGGTATAATATATTGTAACATCACATTTTTGGATACATTATTATTGTAAAGAATTTTTATACGTTTTTCTTTTCTTTTTTAATTTTGCAATATAAGAAGAATTTTTTGAGTAATGTTCATTTTATGTGATTTATAAAAAATAATCATGATAACAAGCACCCTGTGTTAGTTGATTACATAAGTGAATGTTGCTGTTAAAAAGTACGACGTTACTTGTATTATGATAGTGGTTCTGCATTTGTTGTATCCAATGTGCAGGTGGTCTACTAAGTGAATAAAATCTGGTATTTAATATTACGTTTTTTTACAATTACAGTGTTATTTTTTTAAATTTAGAAATACTTGCTTGTTTCCACTTGTCCTCAATTAGTAATATTTAGATATCGCTATGTTCACTTAAGTTGCATTTTGTCGGACTTGGTATAGATATTAACATAATAAAATTAGTGTCCTACAACGTAATAATGCAAATTTTTTAAGGGGCCTTCATACCCTACAGTAAACCCCTTCCGGGAGCCATTGGCGGCCCATGGCCCCCCGTCTAGTTGCTCACTTCGCTCATAAAACCAACCCCGCCCCGCCCATTCAGAAAGCAATATAGTTATAAAGAGTGGCCAAAAACGTCTCAAACCTGTATTGCAATCGTCGCCTCTGTATCCGTTGATACAGGTGCATCCGAATGGATCAGGCGGACAAAAAAGCTTTCCTTTACAAGCTTCGTCATTTCCAGCTGAACAAACAAGATCACAATCACGACCGAAGTTATTGCTTCCACAAGCTACACAAAAAAAAAAAATAAATAAAATTTAAAAACTATAAATAAATAAAAAAAGTTTTAAAAAAAAGCAGAAAAAAAAATAACACACTTTATGAAGTGTGTTATGACATAACACACTTTATGAAGAAAAACGCTTACAATTTTAGGATGATGAATTTATTTAAGATTTCTCATATATTCACTATTGAAAAAACATGTTTTACCAAGTACTAAAATGTAAATTCAATTTAATTGTAGGCCTACATGTTTGGCAGTATTCTCCTTTGAAGCCTGCGGGGCAAATACATTGACCGGTCTTGTCGTCACAAACTCCACCGTTATAACACACGGGACAATCCATCTCACATTCAGGGGGATTCCATTTTGGCAGCGGACAATCTAAGTGAAAAGGTGTAAAACAAGTTAAAAAAGTGAGTCTAAGATGAAAACGAAACTAAATTTTAAGACTTAAAAGAATTTCATTTAGCTTCAGGAATTGTATAGATGACGAACCTTCGACCTACATCCGGAGGAGGTGTACGACGTCATCTGTTGATGACGTCATGACCAAGATAACACCTAGCTGTCAGTAGATAAAGATCTCTGATAGGGATCGAAATGTTCTGAGAAAGTACTCAGTTTCCAATTTAGCTTTACAAAAACAAAAATTTGTCATCTATACAATTAATTCCTGAAGCTAAATGAAATTCTTTCAAGATTTAAGAAATAAACATGGTCAAGAAGCTATTAAAATTGTACGCCAACAAGAAAATATCTTCGAAGCTACCACCTCCAAATTGATCACGAAACGAACGAAAAGCATTAAACAAATTGAAGAAGGATACAACAATCATCATTCTCCTTATCATTCTCCAATCAGATAAAGGACGATCCACTGTCATTCTGAATTCAAATGACTACAAAAAAAAAAAGGTACAAGCAATGGTTAATGACACCGATGTCTATGAATTGCTGAAACGTAATCGAACACCGAATTACCAACGGAAAGTTGTTAACATCTTAGTCATGGCTGCTGAAAGAGAAGAAAATCACTAGTAAAGAAAAAGATTGGCTTTTTCCCACCGCTGAAATCGTACCCAGGCTGTGGTGCCTTCCTAAGATTCATAAGCCAAATTGGCCATTAAGGCATATTGTAGACAATGTCAACACTGTATTGGTTAAGCCAAACGAAAAATTTGTCTCTTTCGATGTAGTGTCCCTATTTACAAAAAAACCAGTAAAAGAGGCCCTGAAAGTAGTCGAGAACCGTTTAATAACAGATACGACACTTTACGAGAGAACCAAACTACAAGTAACAGACATAATGGAGCTGCTTGAACTAATCGTCAACAAGACCTATTTTTCTCGTTCAATGGTAAAATGTACAGGCAAAAACAGGGCATTGCTATGGGAAGCCCTATCAGTCCCATAGTGGCTAATCTGTATCTTGAGTGGCATGAACAACAAGCCATATCCACAGCAACGAGTGACATCAAGCCTGTGTTCTGGAAGCAATATGTAGATGATGTGCTAGCCATCATCCCTGCAGGTACGACACACACTCAATGCACATTTAAATAATATACGCATCACTAACAATATAAAATTCACTGCCCAACACATGGCTAATAACTCAATTTCTTTTCTGGATATGCAAATCAAGTTGAAAGATGATGGCACAGTTTCTACCTCTGTTTACCAGAAACCCACACACACACAGATCAATATTTACACTTTGAATCACACCATCCATTAGTTCACAAACTGGGGCTTATAAACACGCTAATGGATAGAGCCGAGAAATTGGTTGTGGACAAAGATATGAGGGAGATTGAAATAAACAACATTAAGAGAGGGCTGAAAAACTGCCAGTACCCAGAATGGTCCTTCCAGAGGGTAATGGATAATTGTGCAAATAAAAAAGAACATCACAAACAGCAATAGGACAAAATCAAGATGAGTGGTAATGTAGGAATCCCCTACATCAAAGGCATGGCTGAAAGAATCAGACGCACTCTCTCCACTCACAAAGTCAGCACCTATTTCATACGTCAAAATAAAATCAAGACCAGTCTCGTCCACCCGAAAGACAAGATAAGAAAATTGGAGACCTGTGGTGTAGTGTACCAAGTAGAATGCCTAAACTGTCCTCAAATTTACATCGGGGAGACAGGACGAGCATTAAAAACACGAATCAACGAACACAAAGCAGACGTCGCAACAAACACAGGGGGACTAGGGACTAGGGCTGGCAGATCTTCTACATCTACTATATAACAAAAATCAGCTATTACAGACCACGTCATACATCACAATCACGTACCAAACTGGGAAGCTAACATACTAGCAAAAGAACCCAAACAAAAAGATAGACAGATCAGAGTGTCCTTGTATATAAGGCGCAACAAAGGAAAAATCATGAACAGGGATCAAGGAGCACATGAACTCTCTCATCTGTCCAATGATCTTATAGAATCCATACTGAGCCGGGCCCCGCACAACCTTCGACCTACATCTGGAGGAGGTGTACGACGTCATCAACAGGTGACGTCATGACCTAAATAACACCTAGCTGTCAGTTGATGAAGATCTCTGATAGGGATCGAAACATTCTGAGTAAGTACTCCTTTTTCAATTTAACTTTTAAAAATGAAAATTTGTCATCTATAAATTTTAAGACACACTAATTTTATTATTAACACTGTCTAAAATAGTTTTATCGAGCACAGTATATAAGTTTCAATTTTATACTGAATCTTTTGAAAAAAGGTGTTTATTGAAGGTTGATGGTAAAACAAAATTAACAAATATTGTCAGTGGTGAATTCGGGGGGTTCAATGGGTTCGGACGTACCACCACCGTGATGAAATGTAAAAAAAGAAACAAGGGAGGCCGCCTATTTTTATATCCAAATTTAAGTCTTTGAGTGCCATTTCCAGCCATCTAGAGATGCCACAATCATGAATTGTTTTACCTCAGTCCCCAACTATGGTGGTAGACCCTCCATGTGTGGGCCACTTCTATTACGAATTCTGCATGGATTCTGGCCTAAAAGGCATGATAAAAAAACTACGCTATAGGAGCAGGTAGGCAGATCGGACAGTCTAACTTTAGCCTAATTAGCTTTCAGTAAATAAAATTAAAAACATTGTTTTGTTTCGACCATAGTCTATTATACAACCAGGGACTAAATTCCAAGCCATCTGATTCAGCAAGATCTCTTTATTATTATGATCTTTGAAATAAAATGATATATATTGTATAATTTCTTTTTCTCTATGTAGGCGATAAAATCAGATTACCTTTTTTGAAGAGGGGAAATCCATAAAAGTCATTAAAAGCTCATTTCCGGCCATCTAGGAATCAAAATTTTCTTGGTGGAGGGCCCCAAGACCCCCCCTTTCTTTTGTGTACTTTGGGGAAAAATGGAACCCCTTGCTTCAAAACCTGGATCCACCCCTGATTGGTCATGTATGATGATCGTTATTGTGTATGTTTAATGAGTAATGATAATTAGGCCAAAAAAAAATATATGTTGTGTTCCGACCGAAATTTTCCAAAAAATCTGGTCTTTTTTTTTTTCTTTAAATTTTGTTCAAGTACAAATTCGAGAAAAACACTTCCGAAATTAAAATTTATAACATAAAATCTATAAGAGACATGTATTTTTATCAAAATCGGGCCATAGATGCACGCGTAAAATAGAAGGCATGATTTTGAGAACCAAGCGCTGAGCTGTCAAGCCACAACTAGGATCTAGTTCTACAGTAAGCCTAGGCAAGTTTGCCATCGTTCTATTGCGGTGCCTACGAACTACCAGCCCTGGCCTTATAGGCCTAGGGTTTTCAAAGGGACTGCAGTTTCAGGCCTATCCTATTTCACGTAGGCCTATTACTTAAAAAAAAAAAAAAAAACCAAATAATTGCCAAGAAAACATACAAACACGCAAAGTTACAGTAGGCAATGCAGTCGGAGAGATCAGACAATAGGCAAAGAGGCATTAAAGTCATTGGTGAAATGTATGTACGTACAGTGCACCCTCCAATTCCGAAATCCCTCTAATTCCAAAATGCCTCTAATTCGAGACCACTTTTCCAAAGACCCAAATAACGATCTTCAACCTTTTAACACAAAGCTAGCCCTCCAACTGGAGACCAACCCCCGAGACCACCCCAAATTTCCAGGTCCCAAAGGTGGTCTCGAATTGGAGGACAAACTGTACTCTGACCTACTGATTTTCGCCATAACATCATATCATCAACTGTGTACAAAAGGTGACAAATGGTATAGCTAGAGATAATCATACTTTGCACTCTCCCTCCTCTAAAACTTAAATATAAACATTAAAATACGCATTTACAAGTTAAAAATGAATATTTACAAAATACATAACACATTACATTAAATATATAAAAATATAAGTAAAATGAAAATTCTAATTCTGAAAACCAACAATTTGGCAATATATGAGTCCGAAAGCCAGTGTGGCATTGGTCCCAAGAGCAAGACAGACCAGGGCCGGAGAGGATCAGGAATTGAGCAGCCAGGTAATGGAATTGGTGAAATCTGGTAGCTTTTGGTACGGCAACATTGTGAGGTGATAAGTTAATTATGTCTCAAGTTTTTGTTATTAGGATTTGATAAAGGAAGCATATGATGATGTCGATTTGATTGAAGCAATATATATATATATATATATATATAAAACAATTAAATGAACAATAATAAAAATAATAATAATTATTATTATTATTATTATTATAATAATAATAATAATAAATAATAATAACGATAAGTTAATACTACAAACTTGGTGATTTTAAATTTAAGGAGAGCATCAATGATGCAATAGCCCACTTGACAATGGCAACACATTTGGGGGAAAACATTAAAATAACACATAGTTAAAATTTGGAACATATCTTTGGTATCTTCCCCCAGGTACACCCAATTCATTAAAATGGAACAATTTTTTATTATTGCAATTAAAAATATTTCTCCATCCTCCATCAATCCAACATTCTATTGATTGTGAAATTAGACCAATGTGAATGTTATCATGCCTATTTACCTCTGACAATGAGTCTCATAATTCCGCGGTTGTCATCTCGACTATCACTTCCATAACATTCATAAACCCCGTCATCTGTAGCGCGTGTATTTTTAATTGCAATGGACGATTTACTGTTCCACATTTGAATTACGTCACCATAATTATGTCTCCAGCGAAAATCGTTATAACCGCCGTCTTCACTGAGGTTGATAGTGGCAGATTCCCCAATGCCAACAGTCATCGTTCGAAACTTCATTTTAATGGTGGCTGTGGAAATACATTCAAATAATATATTAGTAGTGATGACAGAACAAAAAATATCACTTAATATGTGTGGTGTAATTATAATCACATAATTAATTGAGTATAAGAAACAACAGTTTTTTTTTTACAATTTACCTTCTAAACTCCTGCACAGATCTGGAAAAAGTATATCGTACCATTATTCTTTTAGGTGTCTTACCATTAATGGCATTTTTTGAGTTTCTATTTTACGTTCATTAAAATATTGCAAAAATAATTTTACATTAACACGAACCTATAACATATCGGACGAGGAATTTTCACTCTACAAAAGCAACATGTGAGAATACCGTAAAACCTCGAATTGAAGCCCAGTGGGCCTTATCTTGAGATGAAGCCCATCTTAAATTGAAGCCCCTCTTTAGTTTGCAAAATTAGCCTCAAATGAAGCACATGGGCTTCTTTTAAAGATAGCATAGGCTTCTTTTCAGGATAGTACAGTAAATACACTGACACATGAATTTCAGAAAACAAAATAAATTAAATACAAGCTTGGTTTATACAGTAGTTTAGGTAATTTAGTGCAAATTAAATACACTCCTTGACACAGATTGATGTTACAGTGTCCTTATTTATATTTTATTGTACAAATTCACAAAATTTACAGCATTCATTTTGAATAAAAGCCCTCCTCTTTACTTTGCAAAGTAGTCTTGAAAAGAATCCCATCTCGAAAAGAAGCCCGTCCAAAGTTTGCAAAAAAGCAGCCCAGGGCTTCAAATCAAGTCTTTACGGTACTCACATTACACTAGTACAGTACAGAGGAAGGCGCAGGGTACTGTTGAGTGAGGTAAGCAGAACGTACCACTTTAGTGAGTGCGGCTGATATAAACACATATGTTCAATAAATAAGCATTATAATACATAGCCATCGGCCATTTTAATAAGAGTGGGCGTGGGTGGGTGGTGGGGTGCAACACATTTTTTTTCACCATGGTTGAAAAAATGGCTCATCAGCCGGGAAATAGCACATGCATAATTTTAGGAAAATTAATGTCTTCACTTTTAATTTAAGGGTTACAATTTTTTATATTGGAAGTAGGCCTAATCAGGGCCGGCTTGGCCATTATACCTTTGCCAAAATTTTATAATAGTTATTTGTTATTTTATATTATACCTCTAAACAATTTCAAAATCAATCTTAAATATTGAAATTAAGGATTGTCAATAAAGTTGAAATGTACACAGCAATACAATAAATTGTGTTATATATTACTTACACATAGATATATTAGCCAATGCACTGTTTTGTGATAGCGTTTTTTTCTATTGCACGACGATAATTAAATGTTAGTGGCAATGTTAGTAATATTTTAATGGAAAGACAAGTTGATGTCTGGCTACTAAGAAATGTTTAATTAAGAATAAATCAGAGCATGCAGTTACTGTACAACCATTTTAAAACATTTAATGTATTATTTTTTAATTTCCATCTAAATAGAGAAATCTAAAGACCACATTTAGTACCCATGAGTTCCAAGTCTCCCGTAGAGTCTCGGAATGGGGTCTCCTGGAAACTGGCAGGAAGAACTCCCGCATATTTTTCCCGAAATAAACAATCTCCCGCAAATTCATGATGATATTTGCATGCTTTAACAAGTTTTTAAACTGTAATATCAATTGTCGATGCAGCAGTTAGTACCAATCATTAATGGTTATCACCATGCACAGCAATATTTGGTTGTCATAAGAAAATTCATTTAAACAGATCTCCCGGATGTGGATTCTTCCAAATTGGGACCCCTTTGAATTAGACACCAAAAGACCACCATGCACAGGACTTGACTACAGGGAAATAGTTTTAGCTTTAATAATAATAATAACATCTTACAGTAACTGTAGGCCCTAAACCCATTCAAACATCTTACATTTACTATATCATTTCTTAATTCCCCTCTAAATAGAGATATTAAAGACTACTTTTAAAGCCAGTCTTTTATTATATTGATTCAAATTAAAGACTGCTAAAGACCACTAAAACCATGGTCCCAAAAAGGATTTTTAATTGGTGGTATGGAGGGAGACCTGTGATAGGATTAAGAAAAAGTGGTCCGGCCAAAGCCAGTGCGGTTCCGACGGCCCTGTAATAACGGGGGAAAAAAATAAATTGCCCATGTATTAATCACTAAAATAAGTCAATACATGACGAATAAGGAATTTTTACTATATTCTTTAAGGTGTACTGTATTACCTGCTTTTGTCAACATTATAAACAACATGGTTGCCTCACATTTCTTTATTAAAAGGGTAATTTGTCTTTCATTTGCGAAGGTCTTTTTTAAAATTACAGTTAACACGTAACAGTATTCAATATTGTGCTTTACAACATTGATCTCGAATATATGGCAATACTTGAAATATTTGGCAGACTACCGTATGTTTCACAGCATGACTACAGTACCTAACATTATAATACTGCTGGGGCGAATCGATAGGGAATGATGGTTGTCGACCTCCGGACCTTTCCCCCACACCCCAACCTGTTATATATCCATAGTCCCAGATTATTGCGCTTACGGCGCTCCATGCTACTTGTTGTTGTTCTTGAATAAATGGAGTTTACACGCCGTGTTCTGAACCTACATATTTTTACATTTGCATTTGTTATCGAGGCATAACACATTGGCGACGAGGATGAGCATGGCCTTTACAATAGGAAAGGTAGAAGAATTTGACCATACGGTCGAAGCTTGGGATTCTTATGCAGAAAGAATCGAGCAATATTTCATAGCCAACCAGGTAGACAATGAAAGGAAAGTACCTTCACTGCTTGCACTCATCGAGCCTAAGACGTATACGCTACTAAAAATAAACTTTTTACCAAAACAAATAAACCAAAGAAATTTCAAGGACAGAAACAGACTAAGTCAGCCTATTGTTACAGATGCGGTAGTACATCGCATAAGGCGGACTGCTGTAACCATGCTAAGACAGTATGTAATTACTGTGCAAAAGAAGGACATCTTGAAAAAGTGTGTATGAAAAAGAAGAGAGAAATGTCATCTAAATCTGCCACTACTACTAACAAGAAAAAAGTACAATATGTCCAAGAGGAAGATGATTATGAACCAATGTTCCATGTTAATCACAAGACAAAGGGTAGTCCGATTATAGTGGATGCTACCGTAAATGGAAAGCTCATTCCGATGGAGCTGGATACAGGCTCATCACTTTCTCTCATACCAGAAACGACCTACAAGAAAGTATTTAACTCTATGCCACCATTACAACAAACCACGATTCGTTTGAAAACGTATTCTGGCGAGAAGATCTACCCCTTGGCATGCTTACGGTACCGGTGTGTGTTAACAACCATGAAGGAAATGCCGAATTGCTGGTTGTGCCACAAGATGTCCCTGCATTGTTTGGCCAAGATTGGCTAAGAACTTTCCGTTGGACTGCCAAGAAATTAAGGTCCTACAAGAGACAAAGACCTGCGGTCTGGATGAAATTCTGAACAAACACAAATCCATTTTTAAGGATGAATTAGGCAAACTGGAAAAGCTAAAGGCTAGTATTTACATCACCAAAAATTGTCAATCAAAATTTCACAAGCCAAGGAAAGTCCCATATGCAATGAGAGACAAGGTGGAGAAACAGCTAGACCGACTACAAAAGAAGGGAATTATAAGCCCTATGAAACAGAGTGATTGGGCATCACCAATTGTACCAGTACAGAAGAAATCTGGTCAAGTGCAAATTTGCGGTGATTATAAGGTCACAATTAATCCTGTTATGAAAGTGGAACAGTACCCCTTACCCAGAATTGAGGACATTTTTGCATCCCTGTCGGGTGGTCAAAAATTTACAAAGATCGACCTCAAACAGGCATATCTACAGATGGAAGTAGACGAAGCATCCAAGGAGCTTCTAACTATTAACACTCACAAAGGGTTATTTAGGTATAACCGCCTACCATTTGGGGTGGCATCGGCCCCCGCCATTTGGCAAAGAGCAATGGACCAGGTACTGCAGAACATTCCGTTCACATCATGCATCCTCGATGATATGATCATCAGCGGTAGGTAAATCAAGGAACACTTAAACAACTTGGACACAGTCCAGAGAGATTGAATACATACAACCTGAGAGTAAACCGTGAGAAATGCGAATTCTTCAAAGATAGCGCTACCTATTGTGGACACATCATAAATTCAGAGGGTTTGCAGAAATCACCAGACAAGATTAATGCTGTTCTTAACGCCCCCAAACCAGAAAATATGCAGTAACTTTGTTCATTTTTGGGTCTTATTAACTATTATTGACGGTTTCGTCCGATCTTATCTTCAGTTGTGGCACCCATCTACTCCTTGTGGCACCCATCTACGCCTTGTAGTAGTTCATTCATTAATGAATCTTATTGAATCTTATTGGTGGGTGTGGAGTCAGGATCAGGAAAGACATCACCATGACCCTCCGGCTACAGGAATAGGGGACAGCGCTGCCATGAATCTGCAAAAACAGCCAGAAACTAAAAAATAGCCTGGTAGTCACAGACACAGAAAACAGCCGGTGGATCACAGTGAGTCTCCATATCTCCTGAAAAGTCCCCACCCACCAATAAGAGACAGCAACATTTCCAGAAATGACTATCTACTGAAATGTTTATTGAAGACATGAATGAAATTATGAACAAAAGATTGTCTACAACGTTTAGTGTTTTATTTAAGGTGATTAGTCTGCCAGTTCGGCTTTGCTTATAGTACTTATTTAATGGGTGATCAGGATTTTCGCAGATTTTTTTTAACTGTGCGGAGTATGTCCATTTCATGTAACTCATCCAAATTTTCAGGATTTTCCCCCAGTAATTTTGCTGGCCCACTTTACTATTTTAAATAATTTATTTTTTTCAGCTTGTGTAAGATTTGAGAACCAAACAATGGAACCAAAGAGCAGAACACTTCTAATTACACTTTTGAAGAAAAGATTTAAAATTTCACAGCTAATATTGAATGTTTTTAGTT